TTGTTTGTGAGTGCAGGCTTCCAAATGATTGACAGTCTGGTGGAATCATCTCTTCTATTCATGCTTTCAGGTCTTTTTTCAATCTCTAGATATATATATATATTCTAGAGAAAGAACCACAGTCCTGGCTGGGATGTTCCAGTCCTGATTATTAAGAGAAAAGTTCTCTGTTCACTGAAGACCCAAGCATATCACCAACTGGTTTAAACCTGTTTTTTAAAGGACTTGCAGAGACAAGCATTCCATTAGGTTAATAGATCATTAACAAGGCCAGATAATGGATAGCGAGACGAGATAATTTCCTTTACAGGCATTTCTTTTCCTCTTTGTCCTTTCACCTTTGGAGAGCACCTGGATAACCACGGGGTTTAGCTGATAACTTGACAGCGTAAGGTTAAAGTTATCTCTTGTGAAGGAGGCATGAGATAATTCACACTACGTTGCATATATGCAGTTTAGCACAGAATCAATTTGTTAAATTTGATTAAATTTGATTCAGCAATTGTTAAACCTGACTTAACAATTGTTCAATCAAATTTAACCATTTGATTCGGTGGTTGATCAAACTGTGAGGCTGGAGCTTGTAGAAGAAAGACAGGAAAGAAAATTCACAAACAAAAGAAATCAGTCAATCAATCCATCAATCAAACTTGATTTGTAAGGCTTCATCAGACAAAATGACTAGATATGATTAAAGACGAGCTGTGAAATGGATGTGAATAAGAGCTTACTTCCTTTAAAGCTGCTCTCACATTTCACAGCGTGTCCAGTTAGGATTTTAGAATAACTTTATTGTCACTTTAAAAGTGCACTAATCGGCATTCATTAAAATGACATTTTGTGGCATACAACTCTCAAAAGGTCACCACCTTCAATATACACGACATAAACATGAATGCGTGTGCATGTGCATGTGTACACACATATACATATGTAAAAGAAGAAACAGATATCTTGCGATCTCCGGAATTAAAATTATATTTATTATATTTACTAAGCTTTCGTCAGCCTCTGCTGACATCTTCAGAGTTTTAAGCTACCATTACAGAGATCTTTGCCTTTATATAACATTAACCAGTTTAGCCCTCGCAGGCGTGATAGGCCCTCTCAACTGCCTCCCATCTGTAATTAGTTCTGCTGTTTTTACTTCCACCATGTTGGTCAAAGGAGGCTTATCTCTTGTTATTGCTTCCTCCCCTGCCCAACCCAGCCTGAAATGTTTATCTCTATATGTATGTATATGTATAATGTGTGCAGGTGTGTAGTTATATATGTATTTATATATGTATATGTATATGTATATGTGTGTGTGTGTGTGTGTGTGTGTGTGTGTGTATTACTTACTCAACTTACGACAACAGTTAGCAACCCAGTTGTTGAGTGAATCTGGCTTCCCCTTCGCTTGCCTCTGCTTGTCAGAAGATCGCCAAAGCCGGGGCACTGCAAACTGTCATAAATCAGAGTCTGTTGTGAAGCCTCCAACTTTTGATGATGTAAGGGATACTGTTAACAGTCACAAGGGAGAAAAAAAATAAAGCATCTTTTCAGGGCCATTGTAACTTTGAATGGACACTAAACAAATGTTAAGTCAAGGACTTCCTGTATGGCTTTTCTTTCACTTGTATTTGTGTAGTGTATTTGTGTAGTGTATTTGTGTAGACCACTTGTATTGTGGTCTCTGACCACAATAAGGAAGTCATTTCACTCCTATTTGTGGTTGTGTTGTGCAGCAGTCACTCATCCAGAAAGTTCAGCGGTGGCTGAAGGAGGACCTCTTCCTAGAGGTGAAGACCCAAATCAGAGGAGGTCAGCAGAACCAGAAGCATCTCCTGACCCAAGTGGCTTTGAGGAGGATTCAGTAAACTCCCAACATTCCTGTCCAAGAAGCTGAAACGCGTGGAAGAAAAGTGGTCTTCAGAAGGACAAAAACACACACTTCCCTTTCCAAAGCAGTAGCAAATGTTCCTTTTCTCCTTTGGATTTATTTTGAGAGCCTGGTGAGGATGCACAGTCACGACCCTACGAGAAGTCAATGGCCTTCAAAATCAAGAGGAAGTCAAGGGATGGGGATGAGTAAGAAGATCATTTTTGGCCAAGCATTTGGAACACTCTCTCATTCACTTTAGAGTGCCTCCAAGTTGTTATGAAGAAGGACCTACTTTCTTCTTCTTCTTCTTCTTCTTCTTCTTCTTCTTCTTCTTCTTCT